AGAAGGCAAGGATGAGGCAACTGCAGTGCTGCTACCTTCCAAACTACATTACAGTGACTGGTTTCCTATGACAAAAAGTTGCCTAAACTACTATTGCGTCTCAAAATTATTTGCTCCCTATCAAAAAAATATTATCTTCCTTACATTCGCCAAATTCACTCCTTAAATTGTTTGGCATAACCAGCAATATTGTCATTCACTCAAATGTTAGCACTTTCTACAAAATGACTGCTGAAGCATGCATCTGCTGGGTGCTCGTACAGACCGTAGTTATCAAGGATTCCAAAGTGCATGTTATCAGCTGCTATAAAAGGGCTATGAAACCTGTCATCCTTTGTGCACCAAATGTGAAACTAAATAACCTTCAGCAAATACAGCAGTGGCAGCTAGGGTCACAGGAGTAGAGATTACACCTTCTGACTAGCTCTTTTCACAGAGTATCAGAACTTAAACTTATACATAGAGATTAAAGACAGCTCTTACTTTCATTTTGTGAAGGCAAAATTCTCATACTCAGTGCCAGAAGATGCCTTTGATATATATATACTGGCATGAAATAAAAAGACTTGGTAATACAACTTTAAACAGAAGGTGGGATTTTAAATTTACAGAAGATACAAAATGCAAAGTTACAATTCCTGCAGTAACCATGACTGAGTTCCTATGGGCTCAGCCCTGCAAGGTGCTGTACTGCGGTTACACTCCAGTGAGGAACTGAAACACGCCAGCAATCTCACTCATTTCAAAGGATCTACTCATGCAATTTAATTTAAGCAACTTGCTTAATCAAAAGGAGATCACTAGGCACTTTGCAGGTCTGGGACCCTTAAGTGTAAGGAGAGCATCAGTCACGCAGGGTTAAGGTCACAAAAAATTTTCCTTACAAACCGCACATGCAATTATTTAGAACTTTCTGATATTACCAGATTTAGTGAGTATCCTTCCAAGTGCTCAATTATTTGGAATAGACAACGTAGTCACTTTGGGGTACAAGAAATGGTTAAAAAAATTACAAAAAAAAAATTAATCAACACTTCTTTTCTACTGCTTACATTCTAAGCAGGTTTGAGTAGAAGAATTAAAACGTTTTCCATTAAAAATAAGAAGTGGGAACTTAGGAATGTAAGATAGTTCTGAAAACAGATTTCAGAAAAATCACTTGCTGTTCACATAAAACCTGTCTGACAGTGTTTTGACACATATCATCAGAGGTGGAGATTTTGCATCATTTCACACAAATTCCAGCTAAAGTAGCTGCATAATAAAGGCTCACAGATTGAGAGAAAATGCCCACAAACTGTCTGAAAGATGAGCAGAACAGACATTGCTCTGAAGCATGATATCATCCTTACTGCCACAGAGATGCACTTTCCCAATTTCATTTCTGCACCTTAGCTGCTGCTGAAGTTCAAAGCTAAGAAGGTCTCCTTCCTGCAGGACCGCCTAGAGAAGAGGACAATCTGAAGGCGATACAGCACCTTTCTCCTCCTTGAGTATTAGAGCTACCTACCGCACTGTGTGTCACCTGTCAGGTGACAGGAATAACCATGCAGCTCCCTTTCATCACTGTGGCAGCAAATATCAAGAGAGAAAATGTATTAGCTTTCTTAATTTTCCGTTAAAATAAGGTTATATTTAACTGCTTCACACTCTGCACTGTACCTAAAAACTTTGTGTCAAGAAAGTCTTTCTCCTTCAAATCCTAGTTAATTTCTAAGCAGCAAGACAACATGAGAATATAATGTTTTCTTGTTCAGCTATTCTAGAATAGAAATGTCAAACTCTGCATAAAAGAGATGTAATGATTAATGGTAACTCATGATGGAAGGCAAATCATTTTAGCATCTACCCCATCTGCGCCTTTAAGATCAAAAAGGCTGGGACAAAAGAAAACTCCAGGAAAGCTCCTCTGAGAAAACTTGGCTGGAGTTTTGGTATTTTATCTGATTTAGCAATAAAACCAAATCCCAGGAAAGAGGTAAAAATTGGACTGTACTTTATATGTGTGCTTGAAACAGGCCAGGAGTTATGCACTAAGTTGTGCCTAAACCTGGCAAGACTAATAGTGGAAAACAAAATATTAACCAGGTAGCTGTTGATGAAGTTATTGATATATGTAACTCACACCAAGTAGTTCCCAAGTGTGTCCCAAAATTTGCAGACACGTTATAATATGCCGTGTTATGGGACCTGTATTGTAGGACTCATGCTTTTGAAATCACAACTCATACAGGAGAGGCTAAAGAATACACAGATGACTTGACTTAAGCATGGCTGCTGAATACTTAACAGGGTGACCTTAATGTTCTCCTTATAAAACAAAAATAAACCAAGATGTACACAGAGTGTGCTATAAGGTAAATCACCAGTTTATTGAAACTGGTAGATGCCTTCTACAGATTTCATGAATCTTCAGTTCAGCTGGTATTGCAACCCAGAAATTCCTGCCTCTGAGCCCACTCTTTCTCTACAGAAACACTACTTTGTACGTGGCATGTGTGATATTTTAGATAATATTGACAGTGCTCAATTATACCCCTCAGCATAGTCATTTACTACGTAGAGCCCAACAATGAGAAGAGGTTTTTTGTACCAGATGGAGTACACGCATCAGTTTAGCCTCTCACAAAGATGTTAAGACCAGAGGCCCTGATCTTATAAGAATGTGGGGATTTGTCATTTTTAAGCTTGTGAATAAATTTGTGCTATTCAATTCTGTGGGTCTTTTTAAAGGCTAGCTATGAGTGAGAAAAACACAGAAAAGGAGAGAGGGAGGATAAGGGTAATGGCAAGATCACATAACTACAATAAATAGAGAAACTGGACAGTCTTATTGGTTCCAGGTCCCTGTATCATATAGAAGCAAATTTACATATGCAAATATAAACAGACTCCACTGATCTTCAGTCACCCATTATTACTCAAGAATTTCTGGGAGCCTTCCTGGTAAAAGAGCCTTTTGAAGAGGAAAGTAAAGTAGGAAAGTAAAAGGACTTTATGGTGGATCAACAGATTATTTAGGCAGAAGAGATAACACTGATGCAAGTTTGAGACAGCAGAATTGTGCTCGCTTTGAAAGATTTAACTTCGAATTTTCTACCTCTTTCCTATCTGCAGACCTGAGGTGGCATTTAGTTATCCACTTCAAAAGAAGGTGGGCTGAACCAGACTGTTTATTTGAATACACAATCATTATATTGCATCCAAGACTATGAAAGCTAACTAACGATTTTCCATTCAACCCTTTAAATTGCAATAAATGCTGCAATACGAGCAAATGTGATGGATTTACCTCAACAAAAACATCACGAGTTCTACAAAACCCAAGCTGACCCAGCTGATCAATAGTCCATGTACCGATCACAGCAGTGCATCCAACATCATCATGCATTTCGTTTTGGGCACAGTCTGACTTCCATGCATAACCAAAACAAAAGTCCAAGTGGCTAATAAGACAAATTCAGATTTGAGGCAGTAGTAGCAGAATGACATCCTCTTTTTTTTCTTTTTTCTTTTTTTTTTAAGAATAACTCTTATTGTGCTTATTTAATTTGTTTTTTTTTTTCCAACAGGTCTGCCAGTTAGAACTCAGTCCCATAGCCTGAGCTGAACATATTACTAGGGCATACACCCCTTCCTCAGGCAATTACAGGGTGAAAAGTAAATCCAAAGTCAGTTATCAAGATTTTATCTTCTCAGTTACAAACACGTGGAAATAAGGAATTACAACATAATGGTGGGGCAGTAATAATTTTATGGCCATGTAGGGAGTGAAAATTACACTGTTTTGTGGTCTGCAACTTAGTATTTTCATTCTTAGAGTAGTGCCAAGAGCCTATTAAACTCAGACATCAGTGCTAATATTCAAATCCAAAATCTTAAAAACCATAAAGATGGGAAACAAATATATTAAGCCCTCAAGCTCTAATCCTAGGGAGTCTTGAGATATCAAATCCAAAATTCACCTTGTCAAGCATGTCCTTACACTTCATAAATCTCTATGGGGAAGTAATCCAAAGTCCAGTGAAGTCAGCGGGAAAATTCTTTCTGCTAGTTTCAGCAGGTTTTGGATAGGGCTTCAAAAAAACAAAACTCAAGGAGAGCTACAAGAGAGCATCCAGAATACCATTTTCCAATGGTATAAATCATTAATCTATGACTCCTGAAGTTCCTGAGATACCAGTTTATGTTGAAATCAAAATGTAGAGTGGGAGGGAATAGGTACAGGGGTCAAGGGACAGCAAGCAGAATAATATGATTTCAAAACTTAATCATGATTGGGGAAGAACAGCACAAATAGTGTTAGACCCCATGAACTTTCCCGGCAATAGTAATCAGAGTGATACTTTAATGGCTGCTATATGTGCAGGGCAATAAAAGCACACAATTTTGTTGTGTGGCATAAATACTAGAACTGTTCACTCTCTGACTTTTCTGGTAATTCAAGCACAAATAGCTTAAAATTTTAACACTTGATAAATCACGTGAACTAAGAAAAACAGATTTTAATAAGTTGCAGTGTTACATTGTGCATGTATAGAAGCTGTAAACCTGAGAACAAGCACAGTAAGCATTTTCCAACAATATAGTTCTACGATTAAAGCAAAGGTCTTCTTAGAGTTGCAACACATCCTAAGTTGTGAAACAGGAGCAATTTGTTTAAGTGACAAATGAAAACAGCTTACCTAATCTTTTTAGAAGATCCTATCAATTAAGAAAAAAAATGAAAAAGTCTTCAAATGAAAAAGCCCACCTTACAAAAAAAAGTGAAGCAAGATTTCCATGACATTTGTATTCAAACACAGCAGGAACTATGGGAGTCTAAATAAAACTACAAAGGTAATTACATTGGCTTTTTTTCTACACAGATATCAATTTAAATAAGTTTTTAAATACGAACACTCACCTCAGTTTGAGCCATAACTGGCAGTTCTATATTTTAGGGCAGTTAGCCACCGTTTAGCATTCAAAGAATCTATTTTTTTTTAAATAAGACTTACATTGTTTTCTCATCTCTTTAAGTTGATCCTTAAAATACATATATTTTTCATTCCTTTGCAAATCTGAGTCACTGTTCTTGCTCTCCAGTGCAGTAAATTTTTCTTTTACTAAATATTTTAGATCTGGTATATTTTCTGGTTTTTCTCGTTTTATCTGTAAGGAATAAGAAATAGAATGTTATTTATTATGACACATATTTTAATACAAAGCAAAAGACATCAAGCAAAAATTCATAAGCATAATCTCAGTTTCTTCTGACTCCAGTTGAGTTTCCTGCTCTGAAACCATAACCTCCAGGTTATTATTTATTTCCGCAAAAGTAACTATAAAATGTAGTGTTTCAGTGTCATTTAACTCAGTTGCTGTATACAGGGTATTTTTCACACTACCAATAAGGAAAACTGAACCTCTGCAGTCAAACTTACTTTCGTGAGTGGTAAAGGTCAACATGTTAACAACAACCAGCATAATACTGAACATGAATGAAATCAAATATGACTTTGTCCAAAAAAGTGAGATGAGTGAAAAATAACTCTTTTAAGAGTTTTCAAAACCTCTACTCTCTCACCATTTCTGAATCAGCTTTTCAGAAGCCTATAATTTACATGGATGATTAGTGTGATAACACCACCAAAAGCAGTACAGAAAGCTAACGTAAAAGGAAACCACTTCAATTTACTTGTCCTGTGTGAACAAGAAGCATTATGCCACACAGGCAGGCAAAACCACAGTTTCTTGAAAAGCACTTGCTTACAGTAATTGTATCTGGAATGATCTGAAGAATAAACGACTGGAAATAAAAGGGAAGTCACCACATAGGCAATATTGAGCTACTCCAAGAATGCTAAAAGCACTTTGGGAACCCCCAAAAAACAATAATTAGAGTTTTTCCTTCTGTTTCTCAAGCCAGCATTAAATTCTAGGGAACTGTACCTTTGACAAGTCTTCATAAGAACTAGCTTACAGGTGGTGGGCTGGGGACCGTGCTGTGCAATGATGATCAGCAACAGCACAAACTCTGAAAGAAGGTGGACATCTGTCAAATCATAGAATCATAGAATCATAGAATGGTTTGGGTTGGAAGGGACCTTAAAGATCATCTACTTCCAACCCCGCTGCCATGGGCAGGGACACCTTCCACTAGACCAGGTTGCTCAAAGCCCCATCCAACCTGGCCTTGAACACTTCCAGGGATGAGGCATCCACAACTTCTCTGGGCAACCTGTTCCAGTGCCTCACCACCCTCACAGTGAAGAATTTCTTCCTTATATCTAATCTAAATCTGCCCTCTTTCAGTTTAAAGCCATTACCCTTTGTCCTATCCCTACGTGCCCTTGTAAAAAGTCCCTCTCCAGCTTTCTTGTAGGCCCCTTTAGGTCCTTAATGCTAAGCATTTTCCAAACCCGACAAAGGTTATTTCTAACCTAGCCTATCCCAAACATACGGCAAAACATGCCAACCTGGAAAACAGGAGGAAAGCACCATTTCTGCTGAGCCACTCTTCCCCTACCACACACATTAAAGTCTGCCACTCACCAGACCACTGTACTATTCATTGTGAAAGACAGGAAAAGAGCCTACTGAGAAAGAAATGGTCCACTTCTTCAAATTGTTTAAAGCTTTCAGAGTTTACAGAGACGTTGGAAATCCTACAGAATGTATTTTATTTCAGGAGCCAAAGAAATAATAAATGTTCATGTAAAAATGGACTTTGCAGATATATAAATTGCTACATAGCCAAGAAAACTTTACTTTTCTTTTAATCAAAGCAAAGCAATCCATAGAACAATTATTTCTTCCAAGAGCAAAGCCAGTTTGGCACATTACTTCAGGCAAATGTGAGTTGTGGCAAGAAAATAAGAAAAAAACATACAGTGCCAGGTGATAGCATGCAGTTTTCAAAGGCACCTGGAGATAAAAGATCACCTACCACAACATCCAGCTGTGAATGGGAAAGACTCAGGAATACCTTGGTACCAAAGGAGCACAGTCACTACAAAAGACCAACAGCAGGTCGTCACAGATGCTCACACTGCTGCATAAAGCCAAACAGTCAGTAGCATATAGTCCTCATCCTATGAAACTGGACAAAAGGAGCAAAGGAAAACAGAACATCCTGTGCCCAGGGCAATGGGGGCAATCACATGCACTCAAATGATTTGCCTGTGTCAGCATCACAGCAAACTGCTGCAAAAGAAGGCCTATCACTACCAAACCAACATTGTTCAGTACTCAGCTGGAGAAGAAACTTGGCCATCAGGTGTATGCAAGCACAAGAAAGCAGTTACTAAATCAAAATACATTTAAAATCCAACACATTATAAAATAATTCTTTGATTTGAACAACATGTAGTGCAAACATACTCCTTTCTGCAACTCCATCAGGCTGCTTTTAAAGACATTCTCTCTTTAACATTGAAAAAATATATAAACACAGGACCACACTCACAAGCATAGCCCAAATAACAACCCATCACTAAGGCCTGCCCCCATCACAAATGAGGGCACTATGGCCAGATACCACAGAGAAGATCCAGCTGTGTATAAAAAAAAAACAACCAAGTGCTTCTAAGTTGCTGATACTCACACAAGAGTAAAAGAAATGATGTGGACATTCATTACAGACATCCATCTGTAGCAAAGACAATGACAATAATCTTTTCGTCTCCACGGGGACTATGTTACAGATTGATATAGTTACATCAGGCTCTTTTTATCTTTTTCTTGACTCATGGAAGATTTGAGTACAGAAATTCACCAACGTAGCACCTTCAGTCATACCCTCAGAGTGAGAGGCGAAGAGAAGGGCACAGCCAATGTTAGTTCAAACAGTGGCTCTCTCAACCCCAACTTCCAGAATTAAAGGACTTTACACGCGTGAGCAGAAAAAGAGCAGGAACTGTAACATACTGTTATGTTAGCAAAAAGGACAGATGTTTGAGAAGCTGCATTATATGCACACGAATAAGCTTTGCCCCTGTCACTGTGGAGCTACAAAAATTTGCATGTAGACATCTGTACTAACCTCAAGAGAACAATTATCCAAAACCCTCCCTTGGCTAGATAACTATAATCCCATGGCTTGCTGCCATATATCTAACAAAGTAAGAGCTAGCATGCTATTTGCTAAAGGCAACATGAACAATTCCACCAGTTATCAAGGAAAAAATAGTGGTTTTCACACCAGCTATTTTCCCAATAGCAATACATTACGTTGTGACGATAGTCCAGCAATGCAGTACATATGACATAGGCTCAGACAACCATCTAATGTAGAAACCTAAAGAGTCACATGAGAGAGATGCTTGAAGAATGCTCTTTCCTGTAGTTTAACTTCTTTCGCATTTACAATTTAAATTCAGTTTCTGTTCACCTCCAGATGATTGCTTTCATTAAAATGGTTAGTACAGACACCATCCCTGACCACACTCAATACTGTACCATCACGTATGCTATTACTGAAATGCCAGGTAGACCTTCTGGAAGGTCAACATGTCACAGGTGAATAATAAGGCATGTCCACCCACTATAATAACAGGTAAATACATTTGCTGTGCACAACCAATTTCTCTTTGGTGCTGCATATGCTATTGCATGAAGAGGGTTGAGAATGGTCTAACCCAACAACATAAATGAAAACAAATGAAAGAAAATGTGACATCAGTCCTAGTTCCTCGTGGTGGGACAGAATTGCAACATCTTATATACTGCATCAGCACAACACCCTTACAGGTACATTACAGCTTTCTTTAGTTCTCACCACCCACTCCTACTCTACAGATTCATGGTGGCTGTAGTGATGATGAGATCAGCATAACAAAATGTACGAGGGCAATACAAACATAGGATATGGCTAAGGGACAGGGCAAAATTATCAACATTCAGGGTAACAAGTTGGGGTCATCCTTCGTTTTGGTCTCAGCAGCATGTCAGACAGATGCTTACTAGCAAACCTGGAGCCATTGGCATGTTCAGTTTGTCAGTATAAGTTACTTCACATGGGGACCATGAAAGACATGTTAAGCAAACAACTGTTGGCTTAGTAGCACTGTCAGCCAAAACCAGCATGCTAAGTAACACCTTGCAGTCATTAGTCAATCCATTGAGAACTAGATTGATTTTGAAATGGGGTGGAGGCATACACACCCTACAAAGCATCCTGGAAATGACATATAACTATGAACTGGGAGTGTTCAGGACATATGGTGAAAAGAAGTATCAGTCACAACAGCTTGTTTACAGCAATCGAAAAAGCAAAAGCATCTGCTGTGACAGTCCCGCAGCAGCAAAGAACCACATGGGTATTTACATGGGAGCTCAGCAATAACAGGGAGAACAGACATGTTATATATGATAATTAATGATACTCCATACTTGATCTATCAGCAGTGCTGATAGGAAAACACATTTAGAAACACTAAAAAAATAATTGTTTAGAAAAACGTAGCTGTGGTTTACCTATCAAAAGATACGTTTGCTCATGGCAATGCACCACACCACCTGGTCACAGCTGATACGTGCAAAGAGTTTACCGCGTTTGATGGGCAACGCTTATGAAATAAGCCAGTTCATGGCAGGTCTTTGAGTTCTACCAATATCTATCTGTATGGATGAGCATTCCTTTTGTAGATTCTTTCACCAGCAGTGTGTCTATTCCATGCATAAACCATTAGACTATGCCTCCAAAAATCAGGCTTTTTGAAAGGCCAGCTTGCACAGCCTAAGATAACTATAAACTCAGCGTATTCTAAGGGGCAGTCTGGGGAAATTTTATTTCATCAATTACCATAACCACCAAATGGGAAATAAACTATGCTGTTCTAGACCAATCCCAGAACCAGTGAGGTCAAAGGTACCATAGACTAAAATCAGACCAAGCTTGCGGTATTAGTCTACAAAGAGTAAGGGATCAGTGTCTAAAAAGGCACTAACTAGCATAACTGCATGCAGCATTGCAACATTTAGTAATTTGTCCTTCCCAGTATTATGTCCCAAAACACTTTACAAACATTAAAGAATTTAGCCTCAAACGCCCATTGTGACATATGTACCATCAACTGTATTTTACAAGTGGGGAGACTGTGGCATGAAGAGATGAATAACTTGGCCTAAGGTTGCACAAGGAGACTATGGCAGAACCAAGAATAAATAAA